AAAAGGGAAAAAATGAAAACAGCTCTGCTCCTGTGCATCTTCGCTCGTGAGAGCCGGCGGGGCCGGGGCGGTGGGCGCTCGCCCCGGGCGTCCTGCTCGCTCCTGTCCCCGGGTTTGGTCGCCGTCTCCATGGCCCTGGCTCCTCTCATTCACTGTCCGAAAGGGTTTCGTACTGGGAGCAGAGCAGGGGCTTGGGCTCCTCGTCCCAGGCGTGGTGCTGGCTGCCAGGGGTGCCCTGCGGCAGTGGGGCGCTGGGGGCTGCCGTCACCACCCCGCTGGGGAGCCGCATGGTCAGCGGGTTGTAGGGGAACGGCGTCGAACCTGTGGGGGATGAGGGAGCAGAGTCAGCACCGGGCTGGGGCCGTTGCCCACACCCTGCGAGGGCACACGGCCACTTGGGGGCACGGCCCAAGGCCACACGGGGGGCATGGCCATTCGGGGGGGTACAGCCATTCGGGAGCATGGCCAGTTGGGGGGCATGGTTATTCAGGGGCACGGCCATTCGGGGGGTATGGTCACTCGGGGCCACGGCCATTTGGGGGCATGGCCTTTTGGGGACACAGCCACTCGGGGACACGGCCATTCRGGGGCGCAGCCACTTGGGTTACGGTCACTCAGGGGACACGGCCACTCGAGGACATGGCCATTCTGGGGCACCGACCACTTGGGAGCAAGGCCACTTGGGGTCAGTCCCCTTGGGGCTACGGCCACTCAGTGTCCGTCCCCTCGGGCCCTACCTGCGGACGACGGCCTGTCCTCCCAGACGCGGTTGGTGAGGGGGGTCCTGCGGTTGCAGTCCCCCTCCGAGTGCACCGAGGAGACGGAGGGCGGCCGCTCGCCCGAGGACAGGCCCGGCGCCGGCGACTTGGCCTTGCGGCTGTTGGGCCTGGCCGCGATCTTTGGCTTCCCCCCTCCTCCTGCAAAGAGAAGCAGCCGCTGTCACCTGGCTCGGCGTGAGGGGTCCGGGGGATGGGGAGGGGGCTGCCAGTGCTCCCCTTGGAGGAGCTTTGCGAACACGGCTCGTGGCGGGGGAGAAGCACAGCCTGGGCCGATGGCAGCACGGCAGCAAATGGCCACGGGGAGGGGGCTGCAGGAGGGTCCTACCCCTCCCACCRCTCTGCTTTGGGGGCTGATGCCACCAAGTGTCCCCTGGAGGGAGCTGGGGCAGGAGCAGCCATGGGGTTTTGGCCATTTCCCTGCAGGATCTGCTCCTGAGCTCCATGTGCTGCCCCACAGGGCAGGGAGATAGCAGGGACCCCCAGAGCTGTGTGGGTGCTGGAGCCCCGAGCACATCCCCCATGCCCATGGTCTGCCATCCCTCCTTACAGCACAATCCCTGGGCATGTTCAGCCGGTTTTTAAAAGGTCTGAAGCCAAAAGGGCCCTGTCGGGCAGGTGAGCCCAGAGAAACCAGGAGGAGCTCCCCAAAGGGAGGGACAGACAGGCTCTGCATCCCACCCGGCCTGCCCAGGCAGCCTCCACGGGCACGGGGAGGCACAGCTGGAAGAAGCTGCTGGTTTCATGCAGGAGCCAGAAAAGCTTTTCTGCAGAGTTTTAGGGTGCCTGGAGTTAGCTGACCTGGAGGGGCGTGAGCTGACCTGGAGGAAGGCACTCGTGTGCCCTCCTGAGCTGGGGGCTCTGTGCCTGCCCTCCCAAGGATGTCCCTGGCAGTGGGGCCAGTGCAGGGCACTCACACAAAGCTCTGTGCCCGTGCAGGTGTGCAGGGACTGATGTACCCCCACCCMTCCCTGGTCCCCCTCCTCCCTCCCTTTCCTAACTGGGGGTCTGCACAGCCTCCTCTCACCTCTGTTCGAGTCTCCCTGAAGCTGACAGGCCCCACCAGGGCCCAGCTCACTCCCAGCTCTCCTCTCTTATCACCCCCCATGTGTCACTTTTGGCTCCCTCAGCATCTCCCTCTTGCTCCAGGCGCTCCCAGATCCCACCCAACCTCCCACCCCAYCCCCAACATCCCCAGAGAGCAGAGCAGGGAGGGAAATGCCAGCCTGCCCTGKGTCCTCCACACCAGCCCTTCTCAACACCTTCCCCTGTTTTGGGAGCAGCGATCCCACCCAGGGTTTACAGATAGTTGGGGCTGGCTATTTAAGTTTATGCCTTTGATTTTGGGATTAGGGGGAGGGGTTGGTTTTCCACCCCCATAAACCTTTCCATTGTGCAAAAAAAAAAAAAAAATAGGGAAAGGAGATATTAAAAACCAACAAACAGGGAAAGGAGCAAGTCAGTGTTTTAGAGAAAGCATCAGCACCTTTGGAGACTATTAAATTAACATCAAACAAGATTAATCAGCGGATCCACAAAGCTCAAAGCTGGGGGAGGGAGGGAAGGGAGAAAAGAAAACCAAAAYGAACAAAAACAGGGAGGGGAGGAATAAATCCACCCGTAAATGGCGAAATAAAAAGGCTGAGAATTAATAACACAGARAGAGTGAGGTGGAGAGGGCTGCAGACCTGGCAAGGAGCGCACGTCCTCGTTTCGTCCATCAGCAGGAGTTATGGGCATAGCAGCGGGCAGGCTTGCACTGGCATTCAGAGAGTTAAAAGCATTGGCACTGAGAGGTGAGCGCTCTTCCCACTGCTCGTCATATTTACCCATTAGGGCTTTCCTAATTATTGCCTCCAACCCCATGTTGGTACTGGAATTCTCTTGGACCGACTGGCTCCTACAACTGATTAGCCCTGGGAGATACGGGAGAGGGAGGAGAAAGGGGACGGGGGATGGGRATGGGGGGGAGCCAAATGAGAAGAAAGATGGGGGGGACGGGGAAAGGGGGAGAAAGGAGACAAGGGAGAAGGGAAGAAACAAACAGTCAGCACATTCTCGCAAAGCAACAAACTTTGTCATCTTGTTCTTTAAAGCGCTGCGATGCACCCGTCCTCATCCTCCTCCTCCCGCTCCATCCCGCCCCGGGGTTCGGCAGGGGACGGATGGGACTCACTCTGGGGCCAGGGGCTGGGGACAAGGGYTTGTCACTGAACCCCAGGGAGCATCTCCATGGAGCAGGGGCTGCGCTCCTGACCCAGGCAGGAGGAGCCATTTGGATGTGGGGTCCGTATGCACACACACAGCAAAGTCAGTGTGCCAGGAATTTGGAGGTCGGGGCATTGTCCCATAAAGGAGATCAGGGCAGGAAGAAAGAGCACCCCACAAAAACACTTGATGAGAAAGATGTGTGTGGATTTGGGCCTGGGGTGAGAGGATGCAGCAGCCCCCAGAGCTGCCTGTGTGGGTTGGGATATGTGGGGACAGGGGAGCTCCTGCTGTCCCTCCTCGCGCTCTCTGCAAGCCCCCTGCCCCCTGGCCAGCCCCCCTTCCCCCAGGCCGGGTTCCCAGCGGGACCAGGCCCCGTGGCTGCGGGACAGGATGCAGAGGCGAGGTGCCCGCGTGGTTGTGAGTCTCAAGCCATGCAGTTATGGAGCAGCACCGCACAGGGACCAGAGGCTCAGCCACGCCACCGCCATTCCCGGTGGCAGTGACAGGGAACAAGCAAGGGCAAAATACAGACACAAAACTGCCAGCCACCCCCAGCCCACCCCATCCTGGGCTGTTTGCTCTGGGATCGCTGCCCCTCTGCTTGGAAAGGGACAGATCCCAGGTTCCCATAAACCTGGTTTGAATGCTCTGTCTTGCTGTGAGCAGGCAGGGTCTTTGCTGGTCCCCTCGAGCCTAAACTGACCCTCAAATCTTGTCTGCCAGGGCCCCTCGGTTCCACCTGGCTGTACCTGCTCATCYCAGCAGCTGATGCCAGCTCACTCCTTCTCCCAAACTCATTTCCCCTGCTGAGCAGTCCTAAAGCACCTTGGTGCCCTCCCGCTGCACCAAGCCCTGCCCACAGCTCCTCCTGCCCTTGGTGGGGGAAAGCTGCTGTTCTCCTACTCAAAACTAACAACCTGAAGGCATTCCCATGGTAGGAGAGCACTAATCCTTAATCAATTAAGTACCAATTAGTATTCCTCAGTGGGGATTTGCTCCATTCATTTGTGAGTTCACCCGGACATGTCGCAGGTGACAACAGGGTGACATCTTCCTGCTGTCGCTCCCCCTGGGACTGGTTTTGGGCCTGAGCACCCCCCAGCTCCCAAGAAACACCCCTCTCTCCTGGGTGCTCTCTTTTGGAGTGAGATCTCTTGCTAAGGTGGTTTAAYCCTCTGATGGCATCAGATGGCCAATCCCTGCTTGACCTTTAACCTCTCCTCAAATTCTGCYAGGCTTTCCAAGGAATGACACTGTCCTGTCCCCAACCCAACAGCAGGGAGTTGTGGTGTCCCAAGGCTTTTGCCTCCCTGTCATTGGTCTCAGGGAAAACAAGAAGAGGAGATGCTGGAATCTACCAAGCCTCCTGCCCTCCATGGCTGTAAGCCCTACAGGGAACGAGGAATGAGGGGAGTTACCTGCTCCAGTAATCGCTGGCATGTTGAAAATCTCCGTCCCAGGCTGCCCAACATCTGCAGAAAAACAAAGCAGCTCTTCAGCACAGAGAGCAGGTTCTTGGCAAGGGAGGACCTGCCATGGTCCCCCCTCTGTCACAGCACCCCAAACAGCAGCCCAGCTCCCCCAGGCACAGGGTGGCTCTGTGGGTGCTGGCTGGGAGTAGAAATAACTCCAGAGCCTCTGGGAGATCCACAGTGGGCACCTTCACTAGGAGGGAAAGGGCAAAAAGACGAGCCCAGGGAACCAGGGATGGCCTCCCTCCCTTCCTCCCTCCTGCCCTGGGGATTTCAGGCTCCATGAAGCCAAACCCTCTCTCCTGCCTACGGGATTTTCAAAGGCTCAATGCCCCCTATCCACCGAGCAGGTCTGGGCAGYGGAGAGGGCGAGGAGGAGGACAAGAAATGTTAAATCAATATTTTCCCTTTTAGCTGAGCTGTTTGACTTGGATATTGCTTTCCTTAGAATAACAGAAATTCTCATCAAATAAGAGGTGTATCCAATTTCTATATATTTTTTCCTGATAAGGGAAAGTGTGGAAGGTCACGGGGTTCAGCCACATGTCCCCAAAGGGGCATAACAATACTGTTGGCTCATGGTAACATCATCCAGCAGACCAGACAGCTCGGTCCCTCTTATCCGATGCAGCTGTTGTAAGATGGATTCAAATTGAATTAGTATTGACTGTATAATGCTGGCCTAAATTAAATTATGATCCTATCTACTCTATTAGCGGTTAATGAATGAACGGGCTGAATTTCTAATCTGAGCCAGCCCGGTTGGTTTGACAGAGCTGCACCAATATTGATGTAGGGCTTAAAGGAAGGCTGGGGGGAGACGCATCTCAAGGAGGGAGGATTCAGCTTGGCTGCCCAGTCATTAAAGTATCAATTGCTCTTAAGTCTCCTCCATGCTCAGCTCATTATTTCCTTCCTCCTGAGGTTTTTTTGAGGGTGGGATTGACAGCCTCAGAGCACAGGGAGTGGGATGGGAAGTCTCCCCCTGCCTCTCCAGATGCACACAGTCACTGCTGGAACCAGCACAGCTCATCCTAGGAAACATCTGGACCTTGAACTTCWTAGAACCACAGAATATTCTGAGTTGGAAGGGACCCACAATGACCATCAAGTCYTTTTTAAAGCTGKCTGGGACAYCCCAGTCCTTYAACACAGCAGCACCCATCCCCAAATCTCCTTTGCTTCACTTGTTCTCAAGGCTTTTCCCCCCCAGTGCCCTGAATTTGCCTCCCCACAGGTCCTTACTGTACTCCGTCTCGTTTTTGTTGGTCGTGCTGAGCTTTTTGATGATCTCCTGTTTCTTGGACTTCACCATGGCAGAGTTGCTCTCGGTCAGCTTGCTGAAGAAAGCTGGGCGCTGGGTGTTGTTTCCTGGGGACTTGGACCCCATCCTGCAGAGCAAAAGAGCAATGAAAACCTCTACATAAAGCCCTGCCTAGAGAGGCTCTTCCCTCAGTGCTGCTGCTCAGGATCAGCCTGGGAGCTCCTGGGACACTCAGCATCTCCAACCTCTTCCAATCTCAACTGTGAATGTACCCCGTGGTATTGAAAATGCAGGCTACAGAACCAGCACTGGGATGGGACGCCAGCCAGGAAAGCAGCCAGGCCACGTGTGGGGACACGGCCATGCTCAGGTGCCCCCAGTGCCCGCTCCYGGGCCGTACCTCTGGTCCATGGGCTCTCCCTCTCGGAACAGGACGGGGTACGGGGCGCTCTTGGCGTGTTCCGCTTCCCCCGCGCCGTCGGGTGGGGACACGGGCTCGATGCAGCTGTCCGGCCCGCCGGCCGCCGCCTTGGCCTGCTCCGGGGACCTGGGCACAACGGGGACGTGACAACGGCTCAGTGGGGTTTGGGTGGGCACAGCCGAGCCCTGAGCCCGTGCCCTGACAGTGGGACAGCTGAGCCACCCCTAACAGCAGCCTGGCAGGGACACATGTGACGTTAACCTTTTGGGGACACTGCTTTTGATCCTCAGCATTTGTGAACGCAGCAGAGGCAGAACCCAGCACCTCCCCTCCTCCTTGTTGGGGCCACACAGGAGCTGCAGGAGGGGGCTGGAGCTGGGGCAGCTTGGAGAGGATCAATACTGGCCCCTGATGCCYGCCCGTGGCCAGAGCCTGGGAGACAGCCAGGCTTGAGTCTGAGAGGAACTCCTCACAGCGAGTTCTGGGAATTTACGTCTTTGTTCTTTCTGTGGTTTCTCTTTTTCTTCTCCAGTTTTTTTTCATCACTGGGTGGTCAGGGCTGGGCTCTTTGCCTTCGTTTTAAAAAGCCAACTCTAGGACCAGGCAGAGCTGGGAAGAATAACCCCATTTACTGACAAGGAACCATCACTCATTCTTGGATAGATCCGGGTGGGTGTTTGGGTGGGAGGACAGACCCATTTTTTAATTCCATACAACARCAATCAGACCTGCCTTGTAGCAGCAGGGTGGCTGGGAAGTGACTTTAAAACAAATACAGGTGCTGCCTGAAATGAACAATTGCAGTTGTCAGGGCACGTGTGTCTAATAAACTGCGAAAGATGGAGATAAAATTAACTTTGAACCAATGGAAAACGTGTCACTTCAGGTTTTTGGGAACCATTTGGGGTCAGGGACTGAGAACAGTGACCAGACAAGAGGCAATAGGCACAAACAAAACAAACGAAGTTCTATCCCAACACAAGAAAACTCTTTTTTCCTGTGAGAGTGCTGAAATACTGTGAGAGGTGGTGTCTCCATYGCTGGAGATACTCACAACCCAACTGCCATGACCCAGGACAAACTGCTCACGAGGACAGTGCTGGACGATCTCGAGAGATCCCTTCCCACCTACACCATCCTGTAACACCGGCCAAACTGGGAAGGGAACTCTCACGGACTCTGAGGGGTGTGAAGAGCACAAGGCCAGCTGTGGCAGCTSTCTGAGCTCACCTCTTGCCGCCCTCGCTGTGCGGGGAGATGCGCGCGGCCGCGGCGTGCTCCTGCTGCTGCTGCAGGAAGGCGTCGCTGGGCGTGCGGCGCAGGTCCAGCACCGGGCACGCCGCCCCGGGGAACGAGTACACCGGGGCCTGGATGTGCGAGTTGAGCTGCTGCGGGTGGTGCCGCGTGTAGTCCTGCGTGATGACCTCCTGCAGGATAAAGCCCGGTCACAAACGGAGCTGGTTTGGAGCTCTGCTCTGCTGGGCCCAGCTCAGAGGGCGAGCAGGAGGGAAATGGGCTGGTTTGGCCCTGCAGATGGAACTGCTGCCCCCTGCCCCCAACAGCTCTTGTGACACAAACACCAAGGCTAAAACCCCCTGATGCTCCCAACTAGAGGAGATGAGGTCTCTGTCATCACTCCCAGCCCATCCCATCCCCACCAAACACATTTTACTGAGCTCTCCCCTCCTCCCCGGAGCCCCAGCAGGATGGTGGAGGAGGTGAGGGAGGTCAGGTAGTTACACTGATGTGCTGGGCCAGCGTGACCACGCGCTGGTTCATGCCCTTGACGCTCTGGCTGGACTGCAGGGGCTGGCACTGGGGGCCGTCGGGCTGCCGCAGGTGCTGTAGGTGGGCAGCTTCGGGGGCCGAGGCCTTCAGCGAGCCTGGGGGCACCGAGAGGAGAGGAGAGCAGCAATGAGATGACATCTGTGTCCCTTCTCTTGAATGCCATCCCAGCCTCCAGGCACAGCCAGCCTGGGCTCTCCTGCACCATTCCCTGTTCTCACCTTGCTGTTTCTGCCTGGGGTCGTGCTCCCCGTGCCCCTTCTCTGTGTCCTGCAGCAGCTTGGCCCCYTTYTCGTGGGACAGGCTGGGCGAGCTCACGGGACTCACTGCTTCCATCCGCTCGGGGCTGTAACCTCCATGATAGCCTGAGGAAAGGGGAGGGAGTTCAAACCAGGAGCTCACTGGGCTTTGCCCTTTGCCCTGGCACTGCTGCACCATCGCTGCGAGGTGGGGTTCATGTTCAGAGGAGTGGGGGGAACAAAGAGACGAGGGAACCCAGGACAGCCATGCCCACCTTGGGCAGCCAGCAGCACCAGGACCCTGAGTGAGGCCACCCCGAGCACAGGGACCCCATCCAACACWGAGCCCTCTGATACCCTGCAGCACATGGGCTGTTTGTCTGATGGCCAGCASCCTTGTCACATTCACAGTCTCACTTCTCTGCTTCTCTCATTTGATTTATTACCACAACTGCTCCTTACAGATTGCCTGGGAATTTCTAAGGATGGGGAAATCAAAATTAGCAAATGGCTATTGTCTGTAAAATGCAATACCGGGAACTGGACAACATTTGCAAAACATGACTTGGCAATTAAAGGGAAAACTAAAAGAAGGTAGGAGAAGGAAGATCCTTAAAACACACAAAAATTAACAAGTCTGGAATAACACAAGCAGGAAGCAGAGGGACAAGCGCACTTGGGGAGCTGATGGAGCCAATGGCCAAAATGCGCAACTAAAACTAAGAAATAATGAAATAAAATGGTGTCAGGCCACAGCTCTCTCCCCTCTGCCCTCCAATGTCTCACCACCACTGGTGGAGCTGTCACTGAACGAGCCTTTCTCGCTGCCCCTCACCCCACGACATTTGGCACATGACAATCACACCTATGAAGCCAACCCCCGTCACTTGGTGTTCTTACCAAGTGCTCGGAGCTCCTGTTCCTGCACGGAAAAGCGTTTACTCTGACTCTTTTCTCTGCTGTGCTGCTCRGAGCCCGAGGCTGTGTGCTGCTGGTCCAGAGGGTGGTGGTGCTGCTGGCTTTTCCCCTGTCCTCTGCYGTAGTGATGAGAAGAGCCGGCTCCGGAGGCGGCCAAGGGTCTCGACTCCATGGCTTTGATGGGCGAAGGCGACTGCTCSAGGTTGGCCCCGCTGGGCAGCTTTGAGGTGTAGACGTTGTTGTCAGTCTGGGCTCGTTCTGCCTTGGCCTCCCTTGCCCTCGAGGCCTCCTTGTGCAGGACGGCCGGGTCCAGCGGGGCCGCGTAGCCGTCGGGCGCGCCCAGGGAGGAGCGCAGGCTGGAGGCCGAGGGGAAGGCGGCAGAGCGGATCGGTGACGTGGTAGTGGTGGAGGAGGATCTGCCAGGAAACGAAGGCAAGGCAAGGTGAGAGAAGAACGTGGAGAAAGGGAATGATGACCAGAGMTGCAGCGTCCAGCCTCGCYKGGCTGARCTCCTTCCTGAGCGTGGGGTTGGCMCATGCCYGGACAGTGAGGAGGGCTGGGATGGAGCCCTCACCACAGCAACTGCTGCAGGGTATTGGGCCTGAATGCATGGACTGGAGAATGTAAAACCCGTGGACAGGTCCCAGAGAAATTGGTAACTCCACCATCAGGCAGCCTTCAGCAAGTGGAGCAGTACCTGTACTTGGGCACAGGCACACTCCTGATTTTTTTCTGGTAGCAGGAAAAGCCACCAGGAAAAGCAAAAGAATTGGGGCACCAAAATCTGCCTCCTCCCATCACAACTTCCCTGGAAGCCYCAGTCCTGCTCTCACTGAAAGGCAAACAACTTTCACTCCTTCCTCTCAGAGGTGCTCATCCATTAAGGATCCAGCAAGCACTGGAAGCCATGGTGGGGGGAACATACCGCAGGACGGAAGGGGTGGGGGTCTCCGAGGAGATGATCTTCATGCTCGTGTTGTGGAGCACGCTGGGGCGCTGCTGGATGGTCTCATGGGTGCGGGGTGACACGGGAGAGTGCTGGTGGCTGTGGGAGTGGGAGGACGAGCGGCTGCTGGACTGCTCCGTACCTGGGGAGAGCACAGGGAAGGAGCTTCTTCAGCTCTTGGTCCCGTAACCCAACCTCCACYCAGCACAGTCCCCCAGGGTGGGGTGCTGGACCCCTCCCCAGCCCACCTGGTCTCCAGATGGGTGCRTGCTCCACCGTGGTGGAGGCCAGGATGGATTTTTCACGCTCCCTCTCTCGCTCGCGCTCCCGTTCCCGCTCCGACACCGATGATCCTGACTGTTTGGTCATGTGCGTGGGCCCTCCTGAAACCCAAGAGAAAGGCAGTGAGAGGGCTGCAGACACAGCAATTCCCCCAGGAATGCTGCCTGCTCTCCACAGYGCTGTGTCTGCAGAGCAGATAAGGAATGGCTCCATCCAAGGTCACCTGGAGCAGGACAGACGAGGGCAACCAGCGCRACAAAACCCAGACAAATCATGGAACAGCTGTCCTGGCGCCATCCCCAAGGTGTGACCTTCCACAGAGCTGTTTGCTTTGGGGAACGAGGGGGAAAAGCAAGGAAGCCCTCAACAAGCAGGAGGAGAGGGGACTGGTCCCTGAGCGAGAATGATTCCGGGGTCAGAATTAATCTGCCCTGGCAAGCTGAGCCCATGGCCTTGGGTTGGTTACGGGCGTCCTGCTCAATCATTTTCCCACTGGAAAAGCCACCTGAGCATTACCTGGGGAGAGCGGGGAGCTGCTGTGCCGGCTGCCGAAGGTCTGGGGGGGTCCAGGGATGTAGGTGATGCGGTCCATGGTGGTGGCAGAGGTGCCAGGGGTAGGGGGCACGAGGACGGGCAGGTGTGGCACTTGGGACAGGTCGATGATGCCTGGGGACAGAAGCGACAGCACCGTCAGGAAAACTCTGAACTGCAGCTTGGCCACGCTGGAGCTGGCACTGCCAGCCTGACCCATCCTCCTCCTCCTCCCAAACTGCTCCCACCCCCCTGGACAGCGCTCTCCTGGCAGCACCTGCTGCATAGTTGAGGGCGAGGGAGGGCTCCCGGGGTGACAGCCCGCGCAGCATGTCTGCCCGCTGCGCCATGGCCGTGGCTGCCGCGTTGTGGTGCATCTGCTGCGACGTGATGTAGTCGTTGATGATGGTCTGGCGGTTCTCCATGGCGGCCGTGTCCGGGTAGCCCCGGATGAGGTACGGGGGGTACAGGTGTGGGTACGTGGGGCTCGGAGCCAGGTGCCTGGGCAGGTAGTAAGCAGCAGCTGGGAGAGAAAAGGATGCAGGTGTGAAGCCTCAGAGATCTGAAGCTTTTGGGGCATAGCACGAAAAAGAACAGACTGTGCCCCCAGCAAAGGTACCTGCTTCCAGTTGGATTCCCCTGGGGATGGCGGCGGGGTCGAAGGGCAGCGGGATGTGCCCGCGGTACAGGTCRACGCCGCTCACGCCGCGGAGCAGGTGCTCGTACGGGGAGATGGGGTGGTGGTGGTCGGGCACGGGGGCGTGCGGGGACTTGGAGTTGGTGAGCTCTCTCGATGTGGGGGTGATCTTTCTGTCCTGGGACACCGGCTTCCCAGCAGTGATGCTCCCTGCAGAGAGCAGAAGGAAATGAGTCAGAGCCCGAGTGCTGAGGCCAAGCCATGTCCCCAACAGTGCCTGCAGCCAAGTGCATCCCACAGGGACAATCAGAGCTCCCCTGAACTCGAGGGACCTTTCCCTCCTCCCTGCACTGCCATGCCCTGTTACACCACCRAGGTCAAGGCAGGCCAAGTCCCAGTGCCCCTTGGGAGAGAGGCCCAAATCATCCCTCCACCCCAAAACATCCATGGTCTGATCAAGCAGCCAGTGGTGCAGCCTTGCTGCCACACTCTTCATCAGCACAAGGAGGTCATGCTTGTGCTGGTGACAAGTGTGAACACCTCCCAGCCAGTGTCCCAAGCACTGGAAAAAATGGTGCCGTGGGCCAGTGCTGGGACAGGGAAGACAATCTGGGAACACCAATGGCTCCAGCAGCACAGCCCAGGCCCCAATTTGGTTACCCTGGTGCAGGTGAGGTGCCCTCGCTCCCCCAGGAAGGGCACAAAGCCCCAGCTGTCCCTGGCACCACCCCGGCGCCCTGAGTCACCCGTGGGCGTGGGGTGCAGGGAAGAACAGGTTCAACAGGCACCTGCTGGGGCAGGTGGGGTCAGCAGCCACCTCCTGCGCTCCTCACTGTCAGAAATCTCAGCAGCAAACACAAGCATTGCCAAGTACCTTCGTGCTGCCGCGGCGTGGACTCGCGCGTGGACACCGGAGACCCTCTGTGCAGGTGGCTGCTGAAGGCCGTGCTGTGCCCTGCCTGGTGGTCCTCRTAGCCCAGGGCACTTTGGTGGGGCTTGCCCGGCTCGGGTACGATCACAGGAGCTCCTCTGGCGATGGAGCCACCCGAGTTTGTCACAGGGCTTGGCCTGTTTTTCAGGCTCTCTTCGTAGGCTCTCTCCAGGTTCCTCGGGTCTTGGATGACATCCAGAGAGTGCACAGAGTGGAAAGTCCTGCCGGGACTGCCGATGATGGAGCGCACATCGTGCTTTTTGGTACTYGAGGAGGATGAGCCGCTGTCGTACTTCATTGGGGTACCCTGGGGACAGGAGGCACGGGGGACATCAAAGAGGTGTAGAACAGGAGGAACACAGTGACTGCATCCCACCGAGTTTCACCAGGACTCAGGATGCCTTCAGAGGGTCAATACACAAAGTTTCCCTGCTCAAACAGCCCAGAGGCAACCCCTGGGCCCAGGGCAGGGTGGARGGCCCATCCTGCGTGCCTCGCTGTGCTCCAACAAGATGGGGATGGTGAGTCACTGCCGAGGGCTGGCTGTGCCCAGCACGCCTCTCTCCTACACAACTGGGAACGGGACGGGACTACGAGGTGCCATGGGAACCCCACAAATATTTGGAGACCAACAGGAGATGGCATGCCATGTTTCATCCTGGCTACTGGCCCTGCTGGGCTGCCACTTGCCCATGAAGGGAGGAGACCAAGTTTATGTGCGTCCAGAGTCACAAATGACGAAGGCACCAAGCTGATTCTGTCTTTTTAAAAAAGGGCAGATGTGTCCCYTTTTGTTGACGCAAATGTAGATGGATCATTGCTTTCTTAACATGCCAAGGGTCCCTTGGGTTTTGCACTCATCTGCTGGGAAGGATTATTGGACAGTTGGGATTGGAAAGAATCCCTTCAAAGGATGGGGCAGCACAACCTGTACCCAAGCAGAGCGTCAGCTCCTGCTGGTGATGCAACCCAAAGCTGYCTCTGCTCTCCTTTCACCTTGAGAATGGCTCCAGGATCTGTGCAAGGATGGCAGCCTGGGCAGGACTGACCTCATCTGCTGCTCCCTCCACACTCACCTGCGTGATGGACCCTTCCTTCAGMGGTCTCGTCAGAGAGATGTCCGGTGTCCGCCTCAGGTCATCCCGGGGGATYTCATGGATTGATCTTCCTGCTTCTTTCACCGTGGCTACCAGGTCTTCGTGGGCTGATTTCATTTTCAGAGGAGTAAGGCCCTCGTGAGATCTGACCTTGTAGGCRTCAGATAAGTCCCTTGGTGGAGTGTTTTCCCTCTTGAGCTGTTTGGCTTCTCTCCTGAGGTAGTCCTCATGGGCCTCCACATAGGACCGAGGTATTCCTGCAAGCCCCAAGCAGAAGATGGATGCAGAGAGAGATTCCCCAAGCAGACATTGGACTCCCAGTCCTTGTGCAGATGCTCACTTCAAGGGSGTCTCCAGTTAACACATGGAACTCAGGGACTGGTGCCCAGCTGAGCCCACAGAGCAGTCMACCTCACATCTACCACGACCTTCTGGACCCATTTCACACAAATTTCATCCTGCTTCATGCAAATCACTGGCAATTTTGTCCCTGACTTTGGCAGAATTTAGATTGGTAGAAATTGAGCAAAACCAAAAATCTCTCTGAGGACAAAGCAGGGGCTGCAGAGATCTGCAGCTGGACCTTGATGTGTCCATCTCCTGTCTTACCCCAATAATGAAAACTAAGAGCCGTGGGTGTGAGATGCTTCCCCCTCTGTCCATGCCCACCCTGTGCCTGCAGGCTTTACCTTGTGTGATCGAGCCCCGCATGTGATGCTGCTCCTTCAGGCTGTGGGGACTGTGCCGGTCTGGAGGGATCGCTCGACCCATGAGACCTACAATAGATCCAAGAGGGAGAGCTGGGCTGTGACACAGCAATAATTTACAATAAATACATGACAGTGCTACTAGGGACACCTGGGATAACAAGGAGAAACACCAGCAATGTCTCAATTACTTTATTTTTCCTTTATTTTTTTTTTAAATGTGCTTTTGTTTTTTGTATTCCTGGGGCTGGTCTGTCAGGGCAAATGGGCCAGTCAGTCCCCATCCCTCATTTTCCCTRCTCAGATTCTCTCCTGTTGGGATACCAGGGATACCAATCCCTGCCAGAACACGGCACAGGAAGAGGCACCATGTGGACAGGAGACAAGATGAGGTCTCCACGGGTCACTGACACGACACAGGTGCCAGGTTGCAGCCAGACCCACCTTCAATGCTGGTAGATAAGGTATCACGTGCTGATAAGCCCCGGCTGATCCTCCCCTCCATCATATCATAGGTGCGCTTCGTTCCCGTGGGCTCGTGGGAGGATCCCGAGCTCCTGCTGTCCTCTTTGGGGCACTGGGAAGCAGCAACTCCACCTGAGGGAGGGAAGGAACACCGAGAGGCACCACCATGAGCGTGGGAAGCCAGCAGGGGCTGAGAGAGAATGTTTACAGCTGTTTGTGTGCGTTGCTGAGGGGTCAGATCCCATCCCAACCCAGCCACCGCCACGCAGTGCCAGAAACGTCGCACGGGACCGGCTTCCAGGAAATTCRGCTGGTGTTTTCTCCCCGCCCTGACTGCCTCAGACTCCAGATCTGTGCCTCCTGCTTGGGTAGGAACATCCACCCTGTCGTGCCCCTCCCTGCCCTCGTGGGCAGCAGGACAGCCCGGAGCCAGTGGGAGCAGCTGTGGTTCCACTGAACTCTGCCTTTTGGGTCTGGGGAGTTTTGGGGTTTTTTTTTTCCTGTTTGTTTTGATTTTTGCTAGACACCTACTGTTTGGGCTCTTGGCCAGCCTTAACATTTGCCGAGACACTCCCTGGGTGAGAAAATCAGGGAAAAGGGAGGAGAAGGAAAGCTGGGAATGATTCCTTTGAAACAGCACTGGGCACACACAGAAACTGGGACAGACAGTGCAAAGTCTCATGCAGGATTGATGGAGGAAGCTGAAGTGGGGAGAGAGCACTGCCTACCCCTGATCTGAAGCTGRAGCAAGCAGTGGACATCTGCCCTGAGCTACAGCCCTCCCCTGCCAGGCAGAATCACCAGGCAATGGGCATCCAGCATGTGCAGCGAGCTGTGGATTCAGCAGTTTCTGATGCAGCTGAATGCCTCGGGTTTGTGCCACGAGCTCCCAACAGGATGCCAGCCAGCAGAGACAAACATCTCTGCCCATCATCACCAGCCAAGGATGGCCAGTGCCCTGCTCCTCCCTTGGTGGGCAGACAAGGTGGTTGTAGAGTCAGAGAAAGCAGAGAAGTAAAAAACATTCGCTCTATTGTGGACAATCAGGAACAAAACTCCTCCTCGGCAAAACCAGTAATTAATAAAATGGGATTATTACAACTTCACACCCACCGCTGGTTTCCGCAATCAGCACCCACTCAATCCACAAAGTGTTTGGGGCTGTGTGTGGGGAAACAAGARGGGGTCCGTGCCTGAGCCTTCGCTTCAGCTCCGTTCGACAGCAGAAATCCGGGGGTGACATTCAGAACGCGCCGAGCGCCGCGCCTGCACCCTGTCATCAAAGCACATCTGCTGCCACCAGCCCTTGTGCAGGAGGGGACGTGCTCCCAGGCACCCTTTGTACCTCCGGGAAGCAGGGGGAGGGCGCGAGGGAGAAGAGAGACTAAACAGAAAGAAAACCATTCCAAGCCCACGTCCCTCGCCTTGCAGCAGCCATCAGCAATCATATGCGGGATGAGAATAACCAATCTAGCACAATTCAGCTCACACATGCTACAGGATCTCGTCTCATTACAGCTCTTTTATTTTAAGCACCCTCATGACACTAAAGAATTTGCAATTTTTTTTCTGCTTGCCAAAATTCATAATCACCGACAGTTTCAGTTTTCTTATTTAATTTTTTTTTTTAACTCTTCCACTCCTGTATGGGGGRAAGGATAGAGGCAGGGCTGGCGAGGCTGCAGCAGCTCATGGGATCACTTGGGATGTGATAAACACTATCAAGCATGTAAAAGGCTGCTGAAGAGAGAAAGGAATTAATTCCTCATCTGTGTCCATGGGGGTAGCACGAGATGTGATGGACACAGGCTGCAGCCAAGGGAACTCGGGCTGACACAAGCAACAGGGAAGAGTTTGGTTTGCAGCTCTCCTTCACTGCAGAGAGGATCCCAGCTCTGGGATGGGCAGCCCTCGCTGCTGGGTGCCCTCCCCATCTCTCCCTGGTGCCATTCCTGAGATYGGCCTCGTTCGACCCCAGCCCGGGCAGAGGGGATTAAAATAGCCTCTTGCACAAACAAGTCCTGAAACACTTCCTGTGTCCTGCCTGGTCCAAGCCTTGCCAACTGTCCCAAAGGGCATCCAGACACAAGTCTTCCACGGTGACATTTCTTATCTGGGCTAGAGTTGACAGTGGACCCGGGGGGACACGCTCTGAGCCAGTTTCAAGTGGCAGGCGAGAGGCACAGCACAGAGCCCTGTCCTGRAAGGCCCCTGTGGTCCCAGGACACCCAAACGTGACATCAGCTGGAGCTTGAGAGCTGTCCCCATGGCCTGACCTGAACCCTCTGCCTCCAGCCCTGGATAAAAGCACTCAGCCTGTGATGAAACCAGCTACCAGCATTTGTGGCAGGAGCAAAGGGACTCGTGAGGGCCACGCTGTGCCTGCAGGACTGACCGCAGGCTGGAAGGGATGCTGTGCCCCAGGGAGGAAGGCAGAGGGATCAGGCTGCTCAGCAGCTGGTCAGAGACATGTAGACACCTACTGAGGTAGCTGAGGCTGGGATCTGCTCTTCAGTCATCTCCAAACTCAACGGAGAGGTGACACACAAGGACAGCCATCCCTGTACACACCAAAGCACACACCAGCCTTACCCCAAGGGGAGGCAGGGCTGCAGCATCTCTGTGTCGGCTCCTCCTGACCCCAAGGGCAGGCCAGGAGCATCCCAGCTCCACAGCAGAGATTCCTGACCCAGCACACAGTGAAAGGCAAGAATGGAGCTGTTTCCAGCCTTGCTGGAGAGGAACATTGCTCATCTCCAGGGGAGGAACCGGGACACACAGAGCAGCTCTGATGGCCAGGGCTGTGCTGGGCTCAGCAGGCACAGAGGAGACAGGAGCAGCTGGTGACCTCYTGCTGGCACCACAAAYGCAGCACAGCACCTCTGGCATGCAYCGAGGAGAAGCATTCYGGGCAGGGGGTGTGACAGCAGCCAGCACATCCCAGACACACTCCTTGGGGAAGGCTTCCCCACCTCCAGCAGCTCCAGCAAACCACACACTGAGGCTGGGGCCAGGAGGATTCCTGCAGGGCARCCCCATGCTGGAAAAGCCTCGCAGTGCCCAAGTCAATGCAGGTGAGAATCTGATGTACAGATAAACCTTTGTGCCAATCCACCTGAMTTGCCTCCATTTTGCAGGTCCACCTTGGCCCAAGAGTTTGGGGGTGCCCTCATGTTCCTTTCCAGCACAGGGTACTAGGGATGAAGGCAATACCTTCCCATTTGGGCCAAAACCATTGCAACCCTGCTTGACAGCGAGCTGTCTCTAGAACAAGATAACCACGCGGGACAGAACGACACAGGGCACCCTGTGGGAAGGCAGAGAAACGCTGGAAGCAAAGACATAAACCTTTCCTCAAATAGCTCCCAAGTCCCAGCCACAGCAGCACAAACCCCTGGCACCTGCCCTAAAAAGKCAGAGGATCAGGACTTACCCTCGTAGGACAGCACGTGGCCTTTCTTCCCTTCGTAGATGACATGTCCTTTGGGCACGGCATCCTCCCTCGCCTTCTCGGCTCTGCTGGGGCTGTCTTCTCCGATTATCCTGGTAATGGTTCCTTTGTACAGCACTTCTGCCGGGGTGCCCTTGGAAAGCCACCAAGATCCATATTTAACAGTGTCACAAGCAATTAAGCCAGCGTGGCGCGGGGACAGGCTGTTCCTCGCGGGGAGCTGAGCGCAGGGAGCGCGCCCGGCCGCCGCTTCCTGGYGCAGCCACCGACAGGGACCCGCGGCTTAATTATTGATGAGAAYGATAACGAGGAGCGGTAAAAAGGTACGTGATCGCTGGGAGGCTGCTGGGAAGAGGCAGGGGATGAGGGGAGCACAGCTCCCCGTGCAGCAGCTCTCACCCTGTGTGTGTTTTGAGTGATCTATCTGCCTGCTCYCTTTCCCCAGGTTTGGGGGACAGGGCTGGCGCTCTGCTGGCGACACCTCAATGACAGCAAGCGCTGCTCCAGCATTAGCTTTCTCCCTGCAGTGCATTTGCCCAGMTTGGCACAGGAGGCAGGGAGATGTCGTGCCCACCCAGGCACATCTGCTGGCAGCAGCGTGACCTTCAGCGAGCCGCCCGCGTGCGGGAGCTGGTGCTGGCAGCGCGCCCGGGCGACAGCGAAACCGGTGTGGAGCAGGGGGGGAGCAGAGCCTGCCTCAGCTCTCCWACAGGAACAGCTCCCCACACAAACCCAGGGGAACTGGAACCTCTCCTTCCCCAGGGGCACACACAGACACAGCTCACAGCACCTGCCCCGTGAATCCCTTCCAAAACACTCAACACCCTTCTGCCATAGTGACCTGTCGGTGCCAGCTGGAACAGCCACCGCGGGGTGACAGAACCCCGTCACCACCTCTGTCACAGTGACCCTCCTGACTGACACCTGCCTGCTGTGCTCATTTAGCCCCAGCACGCCCTGGCACTGATGCTTTGCTGGTGCTTCCAGCCTGTGCCAGGCTCTTTCCCCACCCCTGCCTGGGGATGCCCCTGTGCTTCACCAAGCCCTCGGAGTACCAGCTGTCCCCAAAACCCAGGACATGCCAGCCCATGGGTTCAGTGCTCTGGCCACTCACCCTCACTGTGGACCCAGGCACCCCATAATGGCTCTCCCTTCCCCAGGTAAGTCACCTCCCTACAATGGATGTGCTCCAAGGGGATGTGGAAGCAAGTCATGAYAGATGGCTTCAGAGCAGAGAGCACACATTCAAGATCTGCTTCCTGTGAACTGGGTGACTAATCTGAGATCAAGTATCAGCTCTGGTACCAGGAGCTGCTGCCAGAACAGGGGCTCCTTCTGCCCAGCAGGAGCAGAGGGATGCAGGCTGCTGGGCCAGCAGCAGAGCCAGGCAATGCCCTGGGCCTGGGCTTGGTACCTTAATCCTAAGCCAAACAAAAGAATCTGGATGGATTCATTAGCTGGATGYAAAACAGTGTCTCAGCAAACTCTGCTCATCTTCTGAACTGGCACATGGTGCTCAAGGTCCTTCATGTCCACTCACTGCTGCCCAAAGCTGCTGCAGGAGCACCTGAGAGGATGGAGCAGTTGTTTGCTCTGATGGGATATTTTCATCCCTGAGCAGTTGTTGGACACAGGGCACCAGGCAAGCTAAGCCTTTGCTCTGGGCCAGGATTCAGGATCAGGGCCAAAGTGAACATGGTCATCCTCCTTGAAGAAGGCAGGCAAAAATTGGAGCCTGAGTGTCTTTAAACATCTGAATGATGGCCAGATAAAATCCCCACGGGAAACAGATTTTTTTTTTTAATGCTCTCCGCTCTGTTACCAGATGAGCAATAACTCACACTGCAAGAAACTATCGCCCGCTTGCCAGCTGCTCTTCTGAAGATGGATGGTGGAGATTAAGCCAAAGTATCTCGCTGCTCAAGAGCCTTTGGGCAGGACCCCCAGCACGGCACACTCAGCCCTGGCAGGACCTCTCCTACCTCACATGCCCTCACAGCCTCCTCCACCTGGTCTGGGCCCTCCACCATCTCTGTTCTGCTCCACTTTCCTGCCCTGGTGAGGCAATTTTCCTATTTACAGCTGCCCCTGCCTCTGTTGTTGATGTCTAGGAGAAGCAGGATTTAACMGTGTTGTAGGGCTGCACTGCTGTTTGCTGGGTTCTCTGTCAGTCCCTGCTCACCCATCCTGAGTGGAGGCTGCTGCTGACCCCTCTGAGGGTCTCTATGGGGTGGGGGCACCAACCCTGTGCACAGCCCCAGCGACCCCACAAGCCCTGGGCAGCACCCAGGAGGCAAAACCCACGCGAGGCACGGGACCTACGTGTGTGATGGACCCTCGGTAGGTGATGGGCGACTCCGGAGGGGGTCTGGATGTGGGTGTTCCTTTGGTGATGCTTCCTCCCGAGGCAGAGCTGAGGGAAGTACCTGCAGGACACAGAGCTGTGAGCTGGGGGCTGCATTTGCTGCTCAGCACAAAACCCATGCAGGGTTTGACCCAATCTCTGGGGACACCCTCAGAGAGAACCCTTTGCAYCAATCCCTGTGAGTGTGGGGTGGGGAGGGGGTAACAGACAGGTATTTTGAGACYGTCAGCTCCCTGCTGTCTTCGTGGAGGGGCTGGGCAGATTTATGAGCCTGGGAGAAAGGCAAAGCCTGGCTCAGCTTCTCCTGATGTGATCAGAGCAGATCYGTGGCAAGATGCAGCTCAGGGTGGCTTCAGCTCATTCACACAGATCTGCCCTGGGCTGGAGCCAGCCCACCCCACTCAGGCTCCTGACTGCCCTACTGGGGGGTCATAAACCAAAATTTGCACTAAAAAGCAACACCTTTGCATTTATTTTCTTCTGCCTGGCTAATGGGGAAAAAAAAAACCCTTGAGGGCTGTATTTAACCAAAATGGGGTCCCTGTCCAGCTGCAGCAGCAACAGTGAAGAGCATGAAAATACCAATTAACAYAATTTAAACAGGTTTTGCTTTGTCTTAAGCAACAGATTTTCAGGTGTCCCTTTAACACAAAACCTCCATCAGAATCAATGCCCGAGGCCAAGATTTGGGGAGACAGAGAATAGGGGCAAAGAGACCCCTCTGGCTGGGCACAATTCCAGAAAGCAAACCTGAGGTCAGCTTGAGCTGCAGCCAGGGTGGCATTCACCGTGCTTGGCAGTGCCAGCATCCCTCCCTCCCTCCCTCCCCAGAGCTGGGGCTGCCCACCCTGGTCCTCACCCCGCAGGATGGAGCCCTCCTGGGAYGGCTGCAGAACCAGACTCTCTGGCTGGCTGGCCTGGCTTCTAGGAGAAAGTTGTTCCTGCTTTACTCCAGGAAAAGGCACTGGAAAACATTAACCATGGATCAGCACAGCTGCARGACCCAGGGCCACAGCCCCTGACGGCACCTTCTCGGTGCCTTTACCATTCCCAGCTCCTTGGGATGAGCTTCCCCAGGCTGCTGGATATACAAATGCCATGGAGAAAAGTCAGATTTTCTGCYCTGGCAAAGGCAGTGCCCACAGGAACATGGGAACTGCTGCTGAAAACCCTGTGCTGGTTTATAACAGGACCCACACACAGCGGGAAACAGAGCTCACATCCCTCCTCCCMACGCTTGATCCCTCACCCATTCCCTCCTGCTGTTAAGAAAAGCTTCCAAATCTGCAGACTAAACACTTTCTTTGTTCACTTCAGGCCGTTTACTCTTTATCCCACCAGCCTGGGGAGCAACAATATATTTCCGTCCTTCGATCACAGTATTAGCTGGAGGGTATTTATAGGCTGGGAAGCATCCCTGACCGAGTTGCTTGCCYATACTGCACAAATTTAGCTCCCTGTGTCTCTGCTCTCCTGATGGACTAATCCTTTCATCCTCTTAGCAGCTCTCTCTGTGTGTCCTGTGCTCCTCCTTTCCCCCGTGCTGCTGGCAAGCTCGCTCCCTGCTGCTCTCAGAGAAATTYCCCTCTCCATTCCTTACCCAGTTTCTTGGGATCCATGGTTAGAGGCAGGCCCATGGTGATGGAACCGACGGGGACCTTGGCGTGCTCGGGGCTGTAGGGTGTGTGGAGCTGGATGGGCATTCCCTGTGGGGCAAGAGGAGGGGTCAGGAGCACCTGCAGGTCCCTGTCAGGTGTCTCCACCACTCACACCGATCTCACCCTACCTGGGAAATGGATCCCACGGATCTCTCCAGCACGGAGGGGTGCTTGGTGGAGGAGATGAGGGGAGGAGGGTTGGAGATGCTGGCTAGTCTCTGCAGCCCTGAGCGAGAGCTCTCATGCAGGTTCAGCGGGATGGGGTGTCCTGTGAGGAGAAAAGAAATGTTCTGTGAGACTGAGGGAAGGCAGAGCTGCCTTGGAGAGCAAGGGGGCAYGGAGGGAGCAGGGGCTGGACACAGKGACCTGGTCAGCTGTGAGCCTGCATGAGGCTCCAAGTCACATGATCCTTCTGGAAAGGACTGGAATAGTTTAAATGATTGCCATGTCCCCTCTGCAGCCAGAGGATGAGCTGCCCCTGACCTGTCTGCCCTCCATCCATAAAGGACAGCGCAGTGAGGGATAAAACATGCCTGACTTTGCACCTACACTGCTCTGTGACAAACTACACCCCTAAACCCATGCCTAAACCACACCTGACCACCCTGGGGCCCTCAAATAGCCCAACCTGACACTGGCTGCAGGCACAGCCTCTGTGCTCACCCCAGCTCAGGCAGAGGAGGGTGCATGCCATGCATCCAGGGGRTTTTACTTGCCTGGTGGGTTATACTGGAACAAGTGGGGCTCTGCCTGGGGAGAAGTTTTGATCACATCCCGGGGGTAGGAGAGAACAGGGGGCCAGCACGAGGCAGCCATCGACTCTGGGATCAGCTTCTGAGCCTCTGCRATGGCTGAGAAATGCACGGACTTTTCTGCAAGGGACACAGAAAGAAAATGTGTGGTCAGTGGTCAGCATCCCTGTGAGCATGGGCAGGGAAACCAGAGCCAGCTCCAAGCACAGGAAATGGCTCCAGCTCAGTCTGACCTGGCTGTGAGGTGAGGGCTGAGCTCCCCAGCCAGGCTAAAAGGAGAAATCTCAGTGTCACAGCCTGGATTTGACAGCACTGATTTCACTGAGATGTTTAAAGGGCAGTGGGGTGTCTGTGCTRGTGACTCTGCCAGCAGGGAGCTCCAGGGACCCGCTGCCATCACACCTCACCCAGGAGAGATGGCACTGGCACGCAGGCGGGTGCAGAGTCCAGCTCCCTGCCAGGGCCTGGCCCCGAGTGAATGGCTCCAGGGCAGCTCAGCCTGTGCACACAGCTCAGCATCATCCCAGCACGGCAGGGCTGCAGGATCAACCATGCTGCTGCCAAACCCTGCTCTGAGCTTCAAGCCAAGAGGCAGCAATACTGGCATCCCTCTGGTGCATGGGGGCACCAGTTCACTGTGGTGTGCAGCTGGGCACAGGGTGGCTGCAGAGCCCCAGGGCACTGCCAGGACCACTGCCATGCCAGCACAGCAGGGACAGGCTCAGCCCACATCAAATGGAGATGTGAAAGCTCAGCTGCTCTTACAGGAGAGCTCCCAGGCARGARTAACAGCATCAGTTGCTCAGACAGMRAKGGAATGACACAYTGGTGCTCTCTGAACACCTGGGACAAGCGCACTGCATGGGATGGTCAGAGGCAGACAGGGGTGGAGGYGGGTTCTGCAGAACAACCAAATGAGGCACAGGGGCTGGGGCAGGAAAACTTCCTGAAATTGCCTGGTTCAGGGCATCCTGGATTCAYCCTGGCTGTAAAAAGGCTGATGAGAGGCCAAGAACAGCTTAATGATGGAGAAGCTGTGCTGGGTTCACCTGAACCCTGCCATGTGCTGAAAGATGRTGAGGAAAAGAGAGGCTTCCTCTGCACCAGCTCCATGCCAARTGCATCCTCACACTTGGCTAAGCAGAGGGATGAGACAGCCTTTTCTGGATGGATTAGAGGCAGGTTTGGTAGGATTTGCTTGTAATCAATAAACACTTCATTCTGCACTGCCCTTCTTCCCCAGATCCACCTGTGTAACGTTCGCATTGACCAGAAATTAGAAACTGGSCAGTAAACAATAGCAATCACAAATGAACCCAGCCTTGAACCATCAATTTTTGATAAAAATAGATGCCTGATCCTGCTAAGCCTAATAATAGGGCAAGTAGATTATCAGAGGCCCAATTTAATGAGGCTTTACTGCATTATCGTTATTAATGCTCAGTGTACTCAGAAGCAGGGAGATTATTCTTGTCCGCTTCGGTGAGAGAAGAAATCCATTCTGGGCACACAGAGGTGCGCAGGCACTCACACCCTGCAGCCTGGAGGGGCCAGACCTTGGCTGTGGCCTCTGCTCTCCCCACGTGGGATCCCAGAGAGGATCCCTTCATCCTGCCAACAGAGGGGAATCCAAGCACATCCTCCACACTGATGGAGAGTCCCTGGCACATCCACACTCCTTGATAATCTCCCCTTCAGCTCGGCCCCACTCTGCTTTGCCCCTGTGGGGTAATCAGTGCTGGGATGTCCCAGCTGAAGATGCTCCAAGGCACTGTCAGCAAGGTTTTGTGCACCCTGGATGGCTCTCGGAGAGCCTGCTCCTCCTCCCCTCCCCGTGGGAGCCGTCCCCTCCCCTGCGAGCCTCTCCAGCCTGTGAAATGTGGCCAGTTCCTAATTGCCCCCGCATTAGAGGGTGGCTATAACTCAGCCAGCTTTTGATAAAATAGCACTTACACGGGGAAGAGAGAGTTCCTATTACCGTTTATCAAGTCCCTGGAATGGGAGCGAAGGAGTCAGAGTTTATATGATCCGTCATCCAAATTAATGCTCTTGGCTCCCCATCGCCTACAAAGGCCAAATGAAACACAACTAAATCAACACAGAACGCAGCGCTGGCGTTCCGACCGCCGAGCGATAACCCAAGAGATGCCCGACGGCAACTCGGCCACGGCCAGAGGGATCCGTCTGCTGGCCAGTGAGATCCAGCAGGGCTGCCTGCCTCTGCCCAGGGGTCAGCAGCTCCTTGTGGAGGCAGGGAAGGGAGGGCAGAGCTCAGGAAGGTAAGGCTGGCTGCCCTCCAAACCGATAGAGCCGCAGCCAACGCCTSGGCCAGGATGTGCGCGAGGCTCGGCTTTGAAGCGGATCCAGGGCGCTGTGAAGGATGTTGATCTCTGGAAAAGTCACAGGAGTTCAAGCTCTCTTATCAAGCTGGGRAGGAGCAGGAGTACCTGCTCTGGTGGAGGCAGCCCCTTGCTGAGTGGTGCTGCTCTCCAGARGGCCCTGCAGGCTGTGCTGGACTCTCCCTCTGAACTCCAAGCCATGTGGCAGTGTGATATCTGCAGCCTGGATGCCTGCCACYTCACTGGGATGCCTCGGAGAGCAGGGGAGGGAAGGGATGCACACAGATCTGCCAAGACTATCTGGCTATCTCCCCTCTAACCCCTGACCCACAGCCAGGATGTGTTCCAAGAGGCAAAGATAGCACTGGGACGGTGCCTGAGTCCAGACTTGCACTGAAATCAGGGCTTTGGGGGAGCTGGTTTCTCCCCTCGAGGTGACTCATCACAAACCTGCTGGTTTGCAAAATGGAGATAACTCCCATCATGAACAGAGGAGGCCAGCCTATGTCTCCCTGGGATGCACAGGCATTCCAGACCCACTGTGGCACCCAGCACAGATGCACAGYCACACAGGACCTGGAGAGCGCACAGCTGGAGCCCCAGACCTGCTGAGACATTCACAGGGATACTGGGAGGCATAATTAGTTTCATTAACATGAAAGATTCAGAGCTCTACAGAAGAGAGAATAAAGTGCTTCATATCATTAGTGCTTTGTAGGGAACAAAGCAACAAAAGATCCACCTGGAAAACAGATCCTTGTGTTTGATAAKGGTGCCAGCAGGTCACAGAGTGGTGGGGTTGACTTCAACCCCTAAACCCTGCCCTGTATGTCACACACACCCATCTGCCTCACCTCCTCATCCTCCTGTGGCCAGGGGGGAAACTGGAGCTGGGCACAGGGACATGGGAGATGCAGAGCTCCAGCTGTGGCACCCAGCTCACGAGGAAGCTGAGCAGTGCAGCATCAGATCTGCACAGGATTGCAGCACAGGAGATCAAACCTGATTACCTGCCACCGGGGGGGAGAGCCCGAGGGGAACTGTTCCACCTGGGCAAACAGGAGCCTGGCAGGATAGGATCAATGGAAATGGGACCTCACGGGTGGCAACACCACGATTTTGGGGAAACTCCCTTTCTCTCACGGTGAGCAGTCACCTTCCTTGCTTACATGCAAAACATTCTGAAGGTGTGATGCACACATGGTGCCATTTATTGTTTGAAAAAGTTGTGGCCAAGTGCCAGCAACCAACTCTTCTTGCAAGCACGTCCTTCTGTCCAGAGGGAYGTGACAGCTTGGGGAATAACTGCCTGGGCCTGGACACTGCAGAGCAGGCYGCTACAGCCCTGGATGATGGAGGGTGAACCAGTGCAGTGATTTTCCAGCAAAGATTACAGCCCCAGTGCAGTGCCTCTCCAGTGCAGCCTTACCCACCCTCATCTTCCATGCACGAGCGAGTTTTGCAGCTGCACCCACTCCTGTGCAGGATCCAGCACTGGTGGACACTGCACCCACCCAAGCCAAATTTCCTTCTCCTGACTGCCAYTGCTGACAGCATCTCATCTTCCTTACCAACTGAGCCACAGGCTGGCTGTGGGGGGCAGGGACACAGAGCCTGRACTGGAACAGCTCTAACACTCAGATTAAAAACACATTAGAGGATGGTCTCATCAGGACTTCCCGTCTCTCCTTAACCTTGATCCCCAGGTGCTCAAGCTAATAATGTTTCAGATGCTCTACGGTGGGAACCTCTGAATTGCTCATTAGGCAGCCAAACCACATCAGAGCTATTCCGGGGAGAAAGCACTGGGAATCTTTACAGGAACCTTTGGACTCCGAGTCACAGTATTAGCATTGATTTTAAATGAAATAATGGTCCCTGCTGTGCATTAAAAGCATTCTTTATAGAAAGCCAGCAAGGTAGAAAAGAGCCATTGTACCCAGAGCCTTGGCATGCCTCCAGGCCCCTCTGCTCTCTGGTGAATGGCAGCCACTAATAAAGGCAATCTTCACCTCCTCGGCGCTCCACACTGCCCGGTGTTTGCTGTGGGCTCAATGAGACATGATGTACYGTCTAATGAACACGGGAAATTAGCCATGCCTCTCTCGTCCTGCCTCAAGATGCTATTAAAGAGCTTTCAGGGGTCGAAACAAGCTTTCACCAAGAGGGGGGAGCCGCTGGTGGAGTCCAGCTGCGCACSGCGGGCACCGGAGCGCACGCAGCCMTACCTTCCTTGTCACCCACGGCGGGGCTCCGGCTCTTCCCCCTGGGGCTGCTGCTGGGCTGCTGCTGCTCCTTCTCCTGCTGCTGCTGGGACTGCGACAGCTTGCTCGGGGGCACGTCCTCCCGGGCAGACTCGTGGGCTTTTGTGATCTGCTGCTGGTACAGAGCCAAGGCGTGGGGAGGCACCTGAGGCTTCGTGCTTCCACTCTGCAAAATCCCCTCTGAGAAACCTTCGGAAATCTGMAAGGCACAAACAATTGACACTCAGCAGGTGCTGCTGACACCCATAACAACGTGGAGGCCATCAGGAGTAACAAGAATCCCGATTCGCATTATCATGGCGAGTCCTAGCAGACCAATCAGGGCTTCAAATCCCACTAGCCACAGGAGAATAAAAAAAACCCATGGCAAAGATCAGCTCTGTGCTGGTCACACTACAGCAATGGGACTTGTTCAAAACRTCTCATCTGTAGTTGTGCACTCGTAGCTTTTGCCAGAAGTTACATTACAGCAGCCACATCTTAAACTGCAATATGGGAAAGGGGTAAAGGGTCAGGAATGGGTCTTCCCTGAGCATGGAAACCCCAAATTTCTTCCCTGACCACCCTGCATCACTGCTCCTCCAGTGCTGACCCTGGAGATAACAGGATGCTTCTCACAGCCTAAGCCACTGTACCAGCACTTCCAATACATGGGGAACACTTCCAATACAAGAGGGAACCAGGCACAGCTTCTGGGTGAGGAAGGTGATATCCTTCAAGCACGAGATGAAGTGCAGGGCTGGGAAGGTACACTCTCTCTGTTTCTAAAGCAATGGGAGGCAGCAGTCATGTGGCAACGAGAAGCTTTTTCTGTCCAGACCTCCCACGRTTTTCTGATAAAAGAGCTCAAGAGACATCCAAGAGCTGCTGGCAGAGCTGCTCCAGCAGCTGGGAACATGCTCTGCACAAGGGAGCACCTTGCCCGGCCAGGGCTCACACCGCCCAGGCACAGCTCTATGGGAGCAGAGACTATCCCCAGGGATGAGCACATCCTCACAGCCCTGACACACAGCACGGAGCCCAGGGGGAGCACAGACATGAGGTGCAGGCTGTGCTCCCCARGGGGGTACTCACGATGGGAGGGATGGCAGCAGCTCTCTGCTTCAGCTGCTTCAGGTCCAGCGGCTTCTGCGGTGACGAGTTGAGCCTGGTGTCGCTGGCAGCGTTGAGCAGACTGGGCCTGGGGGACAGCAGCCTGCAACCAAAACACGCCTGTCAGGCTCTGTGGTGGCCCCACGGGGCTCCTCAATGCCCTGCACCCCTGTTCTGTGCTGCCCAACCTAGAGAACATCCTCTGCATCGGAGGGGAGCTGGTGGACTGCTGCTGCTGCTGGGAATCTGGGCTCAACAACAACCCCCACGGGACCACATGTTCAAACAAAACCCTTGTGTCCAGCTCAAGAGCCTCTTGAGCCCACTTCCCCTCATCCCTGCGCTATTTCCAGCAATCTGCTACTGTCCAGAATAAACCTGAGGGACAATGGACTCCAGAGCAAGGTGACCAGTTCAGGTTTCATCTGGACATCATGCTGCCCTCTCCAGAGCTCACATGCAATGCTTGCCTGGCCCTGGGGATCAGCCTCRCACCCTTCTTCAAGCACTTTTTTATCAAGGTGCTAAAGCCAGGGCAAGCCACCATGTGCAGGCAACTGGGGCACTCGGGTCACTTGAAAAACGAGAGGCTGGATTTGGGTGGGATTTGGTACTCAGCAGCCCAGCAGCTGTGCAGCCCTGCACCCTCACCACTTGCTCTTCCCCYTGGCATCCCACAGTGCCACCAAAAYRGGGTGGRATRGAAGTGTGCAAAGCCCACRGGTCAAACCCTTGGTGYGCCCAGCTCCCGAGCTTATGCTGAGACCCCGGGGACCACGTCTGCCCAGGCCATCTCTGCTTTCTCTCCCTCCTGACTCCGATTTGTTGAAGCCAGTTCATAGTTTTCAAGCTTTACAGCTYGATTTGTTTACTTTAGCTGTTATTTCAGCGTTCTCTTCAGCCTATAAATTTCAAGGTCATTCCACGCTCACCCYTGGATGAATAAACAAGCGTGGCGGGGCCATGTGCGGGGAATAAACTCATCGTGGTGCTGGGACAGCCCCAGCCCCAGCCCTGCTGGCATCAGGGGGGAAGGGGACCCACCTCTGCACTGGCACCAGAGCAGCCAAGGGGCAGCAGATCTGAACTGCTGCTCAAATAACCCCAGATGTCAGCTCATGGAGCCACATGGGTGCTGTGAAGCCACGCTCCTGAAGGGTGAAACGCCCCAAAGCCTGCTGAGACACAGGGCTGGGGACAAGGACACCCAGCACTTGTTCCTGAGACCTTCACGCCACRCTGAGCTGTGGAACCGCCACCCCAGCAGCTGCTTCATGCGCTCACTGGTGCTTGAAGAGGTACATTTAAGCACCCTTAAAGTCCCTTTAAGCACCCTCAAGATCTTCAGGTTTCCTGAAGCCCTCCAGGATCCTGACGCTTCGGAAGCCAAAGTCAGTATTAAATTCATCAATATGTAAATTGCCTGATTTGTTACGTCCCTCCCAGCAGATCTTGCGCCYGACAACGGGATGTCTGTTGGGTGCTTCGCTCTGGAAATCACCATATGAACAACTCTCGGCATCTCTTATCCACCTGCTGCCAGCCCAGCGCCTCCCAAACCCAGCCACCAGCGCCTTAAGATGGCTGATGGTGACGGGAAGGATGGGAATTCAGAGCAGGAAGGGGTTGGCAGGCTCACGGCTGAGCCTCGGCAGTGTGCAGATGTCCCCTCCCAGGCACAAAGCTTCAGGGATGACCAGGACACCACATTTCCCACTCTTCCTCCTTCTGTCACCAAGACAGATGGGCACTGGTTTAACTTCCAGATGATCCAACGCACTGACACACGAGCCAGCCAAACACGACTCCACAGTAGCTGTGCAAAGGCAATGACTACCAGATCTCTGCAATGGCTCCCCCAAGGCAGGGCCACGGCTCCAACACGGTGCTGGCCTGGCAGAGTCCCTGCAGCCACAGTGGGGACCAGCAGCACAGGGACGGTGGGTGCAGCATCTCCTCTCCGTGCTGCAGCTCTGCAGCGGTGGCTGTGCGTGGTGTCCCTCCCGTGTCCCCGTCTGGAGTGACCTCCTGCTGAACCGCATCCTGGCTGTGCTGGCAGCAGCCCTCCTGCAGCACTCGCTGCACGGAACCACGGAAAACCAGCTGCCTCCTTCAGCTCGGATGAGCTAAGGCTGCGCCTCCTCAATCCTGGACATGTCTTCGCTAGTGTGAACTGCAGGAGCACCAAAAAAAGGYTGCCCCTACTCTGAACTCCTTCTTTTCTCACCGCGGGGACACCCCAGCCACCCTCTGTCCCCTTCTGGGAGATGCCGGGGACAGCTTGATGCTTTCACAAGCGCAGGGAAGAGCACCCACGCCCCGCTGGTGCCGGGTGGGCGGGCGAGCATCGGGTGATGCGGTGACGGGGCGGCTCACGCGGCATGGCGGTCCCGCTTCAGCGCGAGTCACGCTGCGGCAGCGGGGCTGCGCCAACGCCCGCGGCCCGACAGCCCTGGGCCCGAGGGAAGGCGAGGCAGCAAAGCTACAGCCAGGAGGGCACTGAGTCCCCACGGGGAGCACGGCGGTGCCAATGCTCCCAGCCAGATGAGGATCAGCCCCATGGGTGCTCCCGGGCTGGGAGAGTTCGGTGCCAGCGTCAGCTGCAGCATTCCCAGGCCGGCGGGCTCTGCCATCGCCCGCACCTCAGCACCACACCGGATAAGAGGAGTGTCCCGGGAGCTGCGGGACGCCTGTTTAATGTTTAATATTCCTGGAAGCTGGTAACTGTTTGACAAGCGAGATAGGCGCTGACTCAGCGAGGAGCCGCGATGCAAAAGCCGTTCCCAAGACGACTCTGCTCCTCTGCTGCTGGGAGGTCGGTGCGAGCCGCTGCTGTCCTGCTTTCGGCTGGGTTAATGTTCAACTGCAGGAGGACAGCCCCGCTGGCCTCACTCTCCCTTACTGGGAGGTTTTCTCCTGTCTGGGAAGGAAGGAGGGCGGGGAGGGGTGGTGCTGGACTCTGGCCATTGCTGGAGAGGAGCAGCAGAGCCAAGAGGCCTCAGCCCTGCCCCGGGGCCGGGGCCAGCAGCACCCGCACCAGCCCTTGGCACGGCCAGCGCTGCTCACAGCTGCACCCCGGGGATGCTCCCGCACCAGCAGCACTCATCCACGGGCTCCTCAATCACTCACAAGGGTAGCACAAAGGCCATTTGGAGAGGTGCGATGCACAGCAGCTCCCTCCAACCTCGTCCCACCTCTTTGCTCAGTTGTTTTTTCAATAACCCCAACCTGGCAGCACCCACCCTGCTGCCAAACTGCTCCCTGTGAGCCCACAGAAGGGACGTGGCCTGGTGACACTGGATGCAGGATGTGGGACTCCAATCTGCAGTGAGCCAAGGAGGGATTGCTGCCTCTACGAACAATGGCAGGGTGTACAAGKAGCTCTGCCTGGCCCCGGAGCCACCAGAAGATTCAGTGCTATAAAGATGTGYGTGTTCATACATACTCTTTAAAAACCAGAAAGCCTTCTCCCCATTTGTGAGGCTCTTGGGTGGGGAGGGCCCTGTGGGAAAAGCTGGGAGGGGAGCGGGATGTTTCTCCAAGGAGGAGGTCAGTGTGTCTCCTCCCTGTCCCAAGAGCCATCCATGAAAGGTCTGAGGTGCACTCGGCTGCCAGGCCCAGGGGTGGGTGGAGGGCTCAGATCGCAGTGGCTCGGGTGAAGATGCGCTGGCACAGCCCCAGAAAAGCTCGCACAGACCACATTACTCCTGCCTTTATGGCCGGGATGGATAATCTGCCCCTGCAGATCCGAGCAACATCTCTGCCAAAGAAGCAACTCGCCCCCTCTCCACATTGGGAACACATCCCTGATGTGACTTTTCTCCTGCCAGTGCCAGCTCAGACAGAAACCATTCCCAGCCCCGGATGCTGGCAAACCATTCCAGCTCYGCTGTCCCCGAGGGCACATCCCGCTCCATTGCGTCACCCAGATGGGCAGCTGCCACCAGCAGATGCAGCGGCTCTGCACCCAACAGCTGCCCACGGCCATGTCCCAGAAGCACCCGTACGTTGGGACATCACRCTGCCTCTTGTGTCACAGCCCCTTTGGAAGCAATGGCCAAAGGGCTGGGGGCACACGGGGACACAGCCGACCGGGAAGTCCCTTTGCCTGGGGGAGCGCCTGAGCAGTGACATTCCAAGGAGGAGCTCACAAAGACATCCGTGGCCACCGTGACACACAATGGAAAAGCTCACCGGCCCTCGGGTCCTGCCCTTGCCCCCTCTCTCCTCGCTCCTACCTGCTCTTGTCCACAGCATCCTGCTCGTCCATCTCGTCGGCGCTGCAGGTYGCGCTCGAGTCGCTGTCGGGGTTCACCCCGGCTCCTTTGCTGCCYTTACTGCTCTCCTTCTTCTCGGCCTTGGGCGTCCCCTCCGGCCCCGCCGTCCCCGCGCCGCTGACGCCGCTTTCCACCTTCTTGTCATTCCCCTTGTCCTTCTCCTGGCTCTCTTCGCTCTCCTCCTTCTTCACCTCGCTCTTGCAGGGCTCCTCGCTCGCCTTCTCCTCCGGCTCCTCCGTTTTCACCACGTCCACCACCAGGTCGTCGGGCACCTTCTCCTCGGCGCCGGGCGGCTCTGGAGCGGTGTCCGGCGGGGGGCTGGAGGCAGGAGCGGGGTTGGCAGCGGGAGCAGGGGGAGCTTCGGGGGATGTTGGAGCCTCTTCCCACTTGACTGCCGGTTCTGTGCCGGCGTCACCTCCCGGCCCGGGTGGTGCCTTGGCCCCGTTTTCGCCTCCTTCTTTGGCTTCGGGCCTCGGCGAGGGAATGCTCTCGGTGTCGGAGCTGTTATTTACTGCAGCTGAGAAATGGGAAGAAATAAAAATAAGGATCAGCCTGAGATTCTTGCTTCCCATATCGCTGCCTCCACCCCCTCCCTTGGGAAGAGAACGCCCTCGTTCCTCTGAGGGGGAGATGATCCCGGGGCTGGGAGAACTGAGCTGGGATCCCCGGATCCAGAGCCTACTAAGCAAAGGGCTGCTCTGGGGGCCTCTCTGCTTGCCCAGCACGATGGTTAACCCCCACCCAAACACAAAACCACACGCCCAAAAGCCTGCAGACCGAGTGACCGGGAAGCTGGATTTTAAGGGAAAACCCCGGCTGCTGGCTGGACTTGTAGGGTAAGATCTGCTCCCTCCTCACCCATGGCACACGGCCAGCTCTGCTGCCCCAGACCAGGCACCTCACGGGCACCCCACTCGCTGACTTACGTCGCCTGTGTCCCTGGCTCTGCCACCCCTGGGGCAGCTGGGATCATCCCAAAACACTACACGTGTTTGTTGTTATTTAAGCCACCGGTGGCAGCAGAAAGGAGGTCAGGGCCRGCGAAAGCAGAGCGCTGGCAGGGCTGCAGGACAGGTTAATGATTACACGGGAAGGATCATTCCCAGATCTGCCACCACGGCCTGACGTGAGCTGGAAGCGCAAGCGGCYGCGCTCCGCTCGGGGCTCGGGGCTGCCAAGAGATTGTTTCTACAGCTGGGGAGAGGATCGCTCCCTCCACCTCTGCCGGACAAACACRGCCAGGGCCAGGAACACCAGGAGATTTCCACAGTCCCATCCCAGCGTGTCCCCACCRGGCAGGGCTCTCACGCTCGTGCCCCAAAGGCTTCCTCACACGCATTTCTTGACCTGCCTCTGTCCTCAGCAGCACAGCCAGCTTTCAGACACCGGGGAGGTGAGTGCCACACAGGGACTGTGTGCTAAGAGCCGTGTTGTCAGAGCAATTCCATCTCTGCTCAGAGTGAAATCGTGCCACTCTCATCAGGAATCTCAGCCTTCCCGAATCTTACTCACTTGCAAACAAGAAATGAAGTGTCCTATCACCCACCCAGGACAAGGTTCACACTGTGTTTGGCAAAACTCTTCCCGACTGCCACTTGATGCTACTYGGAATGCCGTGCTGAGACATCCGACAGTGGCTCACCCCAAGCTCAGAGAAGCTCTAGACTCGATTGCATTCCCTCCCGATGCTGAACCCATATTCCACACCTTAATTCCCAAATCAAGTCTTTCCCCCTGTCCCTGGAGTGGTCACATGGCTCCTGTAACTCCAAGGTATTGTCTGAGCATCCCCAAATGTCACCYCAGAGCCAGTGGCTGTCTCCTGCATTACAGCACCCTGGCACTTCCATGCCCATTACATCTCAACCCCCTGCTCACAGCTTTCCCACAGCTCTGGACACCCAGCAGCAAAGCAAGAGCCAATACTTGGAGCGTAAGGCTCAGAAGTATGTCAAGRGATCCGTCTCTAATCTCAAAATCACATTGTTTCCTCTCAGGCACTCTTACAAGGGCAATAACCACCTTTTCCTTTGCTCCYGTGAGTCACGTATCACCTCGAACAGAGATTTACCTGGAATCTGCCCTGTAATGAGTCACTCACAAGGACGATTTGAAAAGATTTCCCATTTCAAGTCCCATTAGCCAGGGTGCTAAGGCCAGGAACCAGCGTGGTGCCATAGTGCTGGTTAAGTTATTAAATTACTTTGACAGAAGTCAAATAGGCTATTGTTGGAAAATTGTGCACATTTTCTCTAAACTCCAAACCGCCGCACTTTTGAAGCGATAAATAGCTGAAAATTGTCACTTTCAAGTTGTTTCCTTTCTTTGGTATGGCTGGGAGGGAGGAAAATACTGCCTTAAAAGGGAGAGAAGGAGGAAAAGCCCCACCAAGATGCATCAGCCTCGTTGGTTGGAGAACACGGCTTCCCCTGCCTTTGCTGCAGTCCAGGGAACTCCAGTGCCCAGGAAAGCAGCAATGCCCTCAGGGGATGGGCACACACAGACCTCAGTGGGTTATCTCTCCTTGAGCCTGTGATAAGCTCTGTGAGAGCCCACAGTGGTGGCTGCCTAAGAGCACACGGGGACCCTCCTTTGGAGRAAAACACCAAGAAAAAATGTGATTTACAAGGATCCCTGGGAAGCTGTGCGCTCTTGGAGAGCAGGCTGGCGGAAATCAGAAACCAAAGGGCTCCCAAAAATAGCCATCTGTCCAGACAGACACAGGAGGAGGGCAGTGATCCAGGGCACTCCTTGCAAGGGTGAACTCCAGAGGCACCAGAACTGCCACGAGTGCCCGGTGCTGTGAGACACCATCACCTCGCTGTGAGGAGAGGTTGTGCATGGGGTCTCTGCCACCACCAGGCAGCAAAGCCAGCAGAGCTGAGCACATTCCCTGCCACAGCCCCTCACCTTCCGCCTCCTCTGCCATCTCCTCCTCGTTGCCGCTYGTCCCAGACACCTCCATCTCCTCGTCCTCAGCTGCGGGAGGGAAGGCGGCTTCTTCGTTCTGAACGGCGGCGCCTTTTTTCTTCTTCCTCTTGGCGTTCCTTTCTTTCTCCTGGGGAAAAGGAAGAGGGTGGTGAGAGGCAAAGCCCACGAAGCAAAGAGCATTGGTCCTGCCCAAAGGGTCAGGAGAGATGCTCACAGTGCCAGGGACCCCTGCCCTGGGCAAACCCTTGGAGAACCAATCTTTGGGACCAGACTTGCCCGCTGAAAGCCTTGGCCAGCCAGCCAAAAGCTTTTGACCACTGGACAATGGCCAGCCCGGCTCCACGTGGAGCTCCAGCCTCAGCCAGCAGCGAGCCTTCAGGAGGGGCATGGCACAGACACATGGACAAGGGACAAGCACACAGAGGTCACCAGTGCAGGGCTGGCAAGAGCCTGGCCGGTCACACGTCTGCTCCTGACACACATGTGACGTGTTGGACCTGCGCATTTCCAGGCTCTGCCTCCCGCTACACAAACACGCGTGGCCGCCACTTGACGCTCATCCACAGATAACGAAGCCCATGCCCCAGATATGGCCCRGCCAACATTTTCATGCACCAGCCTTCACATCCCCTTTGGCAGGTGCTGCCTGAGATCTTTGACTCCCATGCCAGGACAGCTGTCACCGGTGGACAGCGGGCACGCTCTGAGCAGCACAGCATCCCAAAGGTGACTGCCTGGTGTCCTGGCTTGCCCCGAGACAGCCCTGGCCTCCCTTGCTGGAGCACGTGCCACAGCCACGAGGGTGCGGGACAGCTGCTCCCTCCTGCAGACCTAAAGGAAAAGTCTCGGCTTTGCTATTGTTTCCTGCTCTTGTTGCTTGAGTAAATATTACCAGTAGGAACAGGCTCATCATCTCCGGYTCTCCCTGCAAACCCCACATGAGTGACGTGTGCAGGACATTTATTTACATGGATGAAAAGATAAAGCCGTGGTGGAAACGTTAACTTTGCTGCTGGATCTCTGTGCTGGGAAGAGCTGGTCCCCCCTCCTTCCCCCACCCCCAACTTTTCAATCCTTTAGAAAACTTCCAGATAAAACAAACAAATACAACTGCTTTTTTTTTTTTGCTTGGAAACGCTGCTTGCTCAAAATCTATTTTTATCAAACTGGGCAGGAGAGAGGGGAAAAAAAGGCACTTGAGGAGGGGCTCAGCGGGAGGAATGCCAGGCTCTGTGGCTCTCTTGGCCCGTGCTGGCCCTGCCGGTGATGCCGCGGCAGCGATTCAGCGCCGCACGTTTCTGTGTGAAGCAGCAGTTCCCCATCGCGCCAATGCGGTGACAAAGCGCCGACGTTACTATGGCAAAGACTTCTCTGCCTCTTACTCACGGGTCCGTGACTCAGCCGCGGGCAGGAGCAGGCTCTTCGCTGGGAATTAGCTGGGAATTAGCTGGGAACCAGCCTCTGCCTCAGCACCCTGCCTGGCCACAGCCCGGGGCTGGCAGCTGCTCTCTGCAGAGTCCAAGCCCCAGGGGCACTGGGTGTCCCTCTCCTGGCAGACCCCACTGCTGGTATTTGGGAGAAATCATGTGAAATACATGCAGCAGATCCTGGCTACATCCAGAGATGGATGTTCAAGGCCACCACTGTGCCTCTGATCACGCCCACAGCTCCAGACTCCTCGTGCTCCCAGCACCCTGCCCAGGAAGGGCTCTCTACCTGACACCAGGAATTSCTTCAGGATCATCCAGGACTTGGTGCCACTCAAGTGTTCAGACTGGCCGAGACCACTGAGGAGATCTGCCATGCATAGCCAGGAAACAGAACCCTGCACGAGGGGTCACTCCACACCTCCTCATCCACAATGTCCTTCTGGCCTGGCCATCCTGACAAATTCGGCCTCTCCCTGCACTCACCACCTAGCATGGCAGCAGCTCCCAAATCCTGTGACCTCCCATCAGTCTCAGCCTGTCCTAGCAGCAGCACCAAGGCAAGTCAGACACATTCACTGCCCCAGAAGCAGAGGCCACCAGACTGCACTTCTGAAGCAGTTTTGCTGTGCAAAGCCAGAATCATCCAAAACAGCAAAGAATTAAAGAAACATTTCTCAGAGGAGATCCACAGGACTTGGTCTCCAAGCAGGACCAGCCCCAGCCCTGGGGATAACTGGCCCCTCGTCCCTGCACAAGCCAAACCAAGCCTCAGCAGCCCCAAGTGACAATCACCACTGGCTGATCCCAGCGAAGACAGCACCTAATCTTCAGCCTCTGACAGGAGGAGCAGCCCCGAGGACGCCGCCTATCCCAATGCCCTGCTTTCCTTAAATGCCAAGATYAGCCAGCGCAGTGTGCAGAAGGTCAAGGCTAAGTGACGCTGATGCCTGGGACACATCCGCGCGACGCAGCGGCAAAACCGAGCCAAAACACACAGCAGGGCAGATAAAGTGAAGCCTCAAGGTGGCCTGACCCTGCCCCAGCAGTTCCAGGCTGCCTGTCCCGGGGTGCAGCCGGCTGGCTGGGGATCTGCTTCCCACCCCACAGCTCCTCAGAGCCACCTGCACACTGCTGAAACACACTGCAACACCTACCTGCAAGAGGAGGCTACAATATTAACGAGTCCCATTGAGGAAATGAATGAGATTTGCTAATTAAGTTGAGTCTCATTTAGCATGAGGAGGAAAGCAGAGTTGCTGCGTTTCCCTGCACATGATCAGCAAAAGCTGGTGGTGGTGAGGTCAGGGAGGAACCTGTGGATGTCATGGCAAAATTAAGCGATGCCACACTGCTCCACCACGTGCTTCCTCCACAGAGGTCAYGGCTGATACTGGGTATAGGATGAGATTTGGAGGCTTGGTTTGCTTGGGAATATATTTAGGAGTCAGGAAGGAAGGTCTATGGCAATTTAATCACAGTTGTTCTTTCATTTTATTCAGCTTTCTGGCATCTGCTGTTGCCACAAAACAATGGAGTACAATAAATAACAGCTGAATGTTCATTGTTCTTCACCACGACCGAATCCCACAGCCTCCAATGCTCGAAAAATAAAATGATGATGCTGATATAAACTGCAAGTGAGAGTGAGCAATTAGACTGGAGAAGTCTAGCGGCTGCCTTGGAGGGACGGATGCAGGGAAAAATGTGGTTCTGCAGAAAAACACTTCCGTGATATAATTTCTGCAACATTAGGGAGCAGAGTAAATTAATACACACCGGCTCCACTGCCAGCAAAGCTGTATGATCTTATTTCAGATTCTCCCCAGTAATGAACAATGATATCTTTCTAATGTAACTTTTTATATTCAGAGGGCTTGATGCACATTTCACAGAATATTTCATTCCAGCCTTTATATGGGTCTGGGGGTCTTTTATATAGTTTGTTTGCTTTGTTTCTAAAAACAATTCGGTGAAACATGGGAACACAGGAGTGTCTCTGTGCATAGAGAATTAATAAAAAAGAATCGCCGATGTCTTCTCTTTCTCTCATTCCTATAGACTGACTAGGATATTAAATTCCTGGGTGAGTCATTGAATGTTTTCCTGTCTTTCTTTTTACTCTTGCTGTAATAGCTTGCTTGGAAAGATTCCTGCATTGAACATTGTCCTTTGCATTTTCAAAGCACCCCTTGGGGGTTTAGCCATGTGAATTCTATTAGCCAGAAACTGGGAACCCCAGGATACTCCACAAATGAAATAATTATAATCTTTAGTGGCTCTTAGCAGTCCAAGCTATCTCCAGAACACCAAACAAGCCCCTGCACCACATGCCAGGGAAGAAGCAGCGTTAGTCCCTTCTGAAGGGGAAACTGAGGCACGGAGAGGTGTGTGTATCTGCTCGCAGCGCTGAAGACAACCTGTTTCAGCGTTGGCCTTTCCTCACATRGTCCTAAATCCCTGGTTTTCTCTGGGGCAAACCAAAGCAAGTTTGCTGCAAGGCCCAGAGCTGCGTGGCCCCGCCGGGCTCTGCTCGCCGGGGTGGAACGGCACCGGCTCACCGGAGTGTTTGCACAGCCATCTCAACTTGCATCCCGGCCAGCACAGCCCAGCCCCGCTCCTCCTCCTGCTCCTTATCTCCCGGCGTACCAGCCACACTCCAGACACCCAGGAATCTCCCACGCAGCAGCTCTGCCTCGTCCAGACCACCCGGGGACAGACAGATGGACAGCCCTCTCCCGCACCACTCCGCAGTCCCCGCAGCTTTAACCCGAGATGAAAATGGCTTCCCTTGGCAGGGGAAGCATCCAAGCCCTTGCTAGGAAATATCCACAGTGCCCAGCGCAGGCTGGGACAGGGCTCTCACCATTTTCAGTTTGTGCTGCTGTAGGATCTCRTCCAGGTTCTGCCTCTTCTTGTAGTTGAAGTAGAAGTTTTTGCACTGCGACACGGTCTTGGAGCCCACCATCCTGGCAATGGCCGACCAGTTCCGCCCATGCTCAAGGAGACCTGGAGGAAGGAGAGGACAAAGGTTTAACACCAGATGCTCTGGCACAAGGGCAGCATTACCCACACAGGACGGGAACCCTCCTCTGTGCAAGYCAAACTCCACAGGAACAATACGGTCACCAGCACCTGTCTGAACGGCTCCTGAGCCAGGGCATGACCTATGAGAGCCTGTTTTCCTTTCCAAAGGGAAAAAAGGCACTATGCTGACCGTCACTGGAATAAAATACGTCCCACAGCCATGTCTTGGCCAGTCACTGGGCAGTCACGAGGACCAGCGGCGCTCCCTTTCCTTTGGGATGGCTGCAGCAGGTGTTGGCATGCCCAGGAGAACTTGAGACAGCTGCTCTCAGTCCCTACCATGAAGCAAAGGCTCTTCCCACCCTCCTGTGCCCCAGTGATGATTTCAAGAGGGGTGGCAAGGCAGGGGAGGGGATTGGAGCACACGGCCCTGTGAGGGATGGGGAGGGAAGCAGCAGCATCCCAGCAGGGAAGCCCAGGTGATGTCCCTGGCTGTGAAGAGACATGCCAGGGGATTAGTGCTGATCACAGGCTCATGATCAAAAGCAGCTTCCCAGGTCAGGCATCACGCCAAGGGCTGGCAATCCTGGCCAGATGGTGCCACCCGAGCACAGGGATCCTGCCAGCACGGGGGCAAACCCAGCAGGCTGGAGGAGGATGAGGAGGAGGAAGGAGACAGTCGGCACCTCGTGTCCTTGCTGTCTCTGCAGGGGTGTCTGGGCACCCCTGCTCCTGCAGATGGAGGTGGGAGATACAGCCAGAGCCCAGGGATGGCTGCAGTGGCACCCKGGTCCCTCCACCCCAGGCTCTTGGAGGTGACCCAGCTTTCTGGGAGGTTATACCTTGCTGCCTGCAATTATTCCTGCTGTGTGGCTGGTCCTTTGGGGGTGTCTCATGGGCTGGAGCTCCACCAGACTGTGGGACACTGCTGGCCCAGCTGCTCCTGATGCCCATGTGATGCCACCGTCAGGCCAGCAGCTCCCCAGCCCTTCCCTGCACCTTGGGAGGGCACAGGATGCAGAGACTGTAACCCCAGGGGCACCGTACTGCCACAGAAAGGTAACTTCAAATGAAAACCAGCACGGAATGCACCTAAGAACATCCTCCTCCTTTGCTGGGAGCTTTTCTGCCCAGAAGGCACCAAGCACAGAGCCSTGTGTGGTTGGGAGCAGGCACTGACCATACCCAAACCCTTCCCTGGCTGCTCTGGCACCACGGGACCATGGAGAGTCCCAACTGGGGCTCCTGGCACGGCTATGTTTGTGCCTGGGAACACAGCAGCTGTGCCCCAGCCCTGCTGCCAGCCTCCTGCCAAGCTGCTGCCATGTGCCAGCCCAACATCAAACCCCGGGGCACGGGCTGATCTCAGCGCAGCCCCACGCAGCCGGGCCCAAGGGATGCACATCCAGCCAGGATCTGTGAGTCTGGGCAAGGGGAGGGCACGGCGTGGGGCTGAGGGCACGGCTGCATTGAATAGAGGGCACCAGGCACCCCCAGAGAGATGAAATCCTCCTCCATGCTTCCCAGGAGAAAASCAGCAGCACCAGCACAGCGGGAGTTAACATCCAGCTGGTGCCTGTATCCTGCCCGTCCCAGCACCAGGCTTATCAAATTGCATGTATGAGGCATCACACGCTCTGAGCATCAGAAAGGCCCTGGCAAGCCTAGAAACAAGTTTCAGCTTTAACTCTGCGACTCCCAGCCTCGCTCAGCCAAACCCACGACCTCCTCACCCTGCTGGCGGGCTGGGACTTCTTAAAAAAAAAAAAAAAGATAAAAAAATCACATCCGGCCACCAATCATGAGGCAACGAGCGGGGCACGAGTCCTCCCCCTGCCGTTGCTGAATGCCGCAGGGGAGAACAGGACAGTCCCCAGTGTCACAACCCATCCCCTCTGACACAACCCACTGCTGCCGTCCAAAGCAAACAAGCAGCTCTGTSCCTCTGCTCATCACTGCACTGGTGGCCCAGCACCAAGTGTGACAGCCGGGGCCAGGGCTGACCGTGTGCCCCAGGCAAAGCTGAAAYGAAGACGCTGGCAGCGGTGTGGATGTGCCATGAGCACGGGCGCTRTGGTGGGAAAGGTGCCAGGAGCAGGAGCTGGCATGGCCCGGGGCTGGGGGGTGACGGATGTCATTGTGAGCGGTCCCCAGCGTGGCGTGACCTTTACCAGCCACAGGCAATGCCACCTCCCGGCTGTCCCTCCCCCTGGCCGGGCTGGCCGTGCCACTGCTCACCGGGACACCGCTGAAGGAGCCTGCAGCTGACCGGGCAGGTGGCTGAGCCTGTGCTGGGCTCAGGAGGGGGAGGAGGAGGAGGAGGAGGAAGAGGCTGCCCGCAGCCCCTGYCCGCGGGACCGGCAGGGAGCCCCGCCACTCTTCCCTCTGCATGAAAGCAGAGCAGAACAGCAGCACCTGCTTCCCACGCTGTAGTTATCTGCACGCTCGGGAGGGACCGGCCGAGACACCCCCCGGACATGAGGGTGAACCCCCGGCTCTCCAGGCACCCCACATCCATGAGCTCGTTCAGCAGAGCCGCCCCAGCGCCCGCTCCCCCTGCCCCGCGCTCCAGCCCGGCACGGCAGCACGCAGCCCTCGGTTCCGCATCGCAACTGAAACTGTGACTAACCGAGTTATCAGATCCTCGGCAAGGCTGAGCTCCTCGGCTCGGGGCGGGGGTTCAGGACGCAGGGTCTGCCGCAGGCACGCAGCCACACACAACCTTGGGGTTAACCCCATCCTCCGGACCCCGACACCCGACTTACGTGCTCCGGCGGGCAGGGAGCACACCTGGAGTGTGCGGYGGGTGGGCTGGCAAGGACGCGGCTGTCAGGGCACTTCTTCAAAGCCCCCCCGGGCACGGCAGCCCGCGGCAAAGCGCTGCGAGTGCTCCGCTCACACCCTCCCCACGCATTTCGCTTTCGCTCCCTCGCAGCAGCCGGAGACAGAGAAGAAAGCAAAGCCGGTTCCTTAAATCCTGGGGGCGAGAGGATTTCAGAGCCATGGGCGGCCGGGAGCGGCGAGCAAACGGGCACCGAGGCTGGAAAGCAGGTCACAGGCGGCAGACTCCTGACCCCGATGGCAGAAGTTGGTGGGAACACATGCTCCGGCCCCAGCTCTTCCCCTTGGAGCCAACAGCGTTCTGCGCTCTCCTCCTGCTCGCTCGCCGGAGCGTTCCAGCCGGCTGCAGCCGCGGTTGTTAAGGTGGATGGAAGCGCCGCCAGTATTTTCTCCCCTACCTCATCTCCTTGCTCAGCAGCTCGGGGCTACGGGGAGACTGTGCAGTTTCAGGAGGTGCCCGACGTTGCCAAGAAATAATAATAATTTTTAAAAAAATTAAAAAAAAAGGCAGGAGAAAAGCAAAGGGGCGGGAGCGCAGCAGCTCCGCTCCTGCCAGCCCGGGGACGGGGAGCCGGTGCCGTCGGTATGTGGCGGAGCAGCGAGCAAGCTCTAATCTGTTCCTCTGGCTGACCCGGGGCTCGTTGCATCTGAATGTGACCTCTAGACAGAGCATTAATAACGAACGTGGCGCTGACCCAAGCTGACAAGGGGTGCGGCGCTTGGCACCCGCTCCCGCCCTCCCTCGCTCACTTTCTGTCTCCCTCGCTCTCGGCTGAATGTCAGCGGCAGGGGGAGGGATCCAGGAAAACAAAGCTTGGCTAATAGTTTTCTCCGCTCTCAAGTGAATCAAAGGCGCTTTTCTTTGGGGACGTGCGCTCCGGCGAGCCCAGTGCCGCACCGACAGGGTGCCCCAGGACACCTCGGCCCCGCAGCTGCTGCCCTGGCACAGGAGGGATGGTGAGAGCTTTGGCAAACCGGGACCTCTGCTCCCGGACAGCAAGTGGAGGCTGGAAGGAAGAGGAGCTTGGAGAGCGGGGTACCGTGCTCAGCATCTTGGGGAACAGAGGAGAAGCCTGGAGGGGCAGCAYGGTGGGSRAGRGYTATGGGCTCGCAGCCCCTCGGYGCTCTGCAGCTGGGGGTTTTACCASAGAYRTTCYAAAGCTCTCTGGCAYGGCAGCCCAGCTCCACCCTGGGCTTGGTGAGGGTGGAGAGAGCCCGTAAAAGGGTCCCTTAATGGGAGCTCACATGGATTAACAGATCAAGATTATAGGGGAAAAACTAAGTACCATTCCCTATACCCGACGGTACCTGGTACGATCCTTCAGTACCTCTTGCGCCCACACACCCTCTTGGGAGTGGGGATGGAGACAGTTCTGGCTACGGCACAGCCAAAAAGTGCTGCAATCCTATTCCAGAGAAAGACCAGCCCTGTGGAGTCAGCGACACCACCCAAGGCATCCCGAAAGCGTGGTCTGCATCGCCTTCCCGCACAAAGCTTGGGGTGGTTTGCAGAGAGGCGCAGGGAAGGTGAGTAACTTTGCCAGGGCCACGGATCAGTGGGTGGCAGAGCCAGGTGCACGCCAGCTCCTGTGCCATGCCAAGGGAAGCAGCGGGGATGGCGCGTGGGGGGCACCCACAGGAGCTGGGGTGCTGCTGGAGGGATCATGGTGCAGGCAGCGGGCTCTGCATGCTCTCACTGCCCCGGGGGTGATGCCCTTCCTGCCTTCAGGTGATGCTGCCATGCTCCCTGTGGATCTCCCTTTTGGCGACTGGACACAAAAACACCTCTGATGATGCCACGTCTACGAGGGAGCTCGCAGCTCAAATCCCAGCACCTTTCACACCCATCACAACACCTCTCTGGAGGGAGGCAGTGCCACCAAACAAGGCGTGGGTGCCTGACCAGAAAGGGGTTGGGACCCCTGACCCTGACCAGCTCAGCTCTCGTGTAATGTCCCCTCTTTGCTGGCCCTGGCTGGGGACCCTCAGCTCCAGGTGTCCCCTTTGAAATGGAGGTTCCTGTTGCAAAACCTTGAGCCCTGTGCCCCGATCACACACTCGCCTGGCTTTACTACTCCTACCACAGCCTCCCTTTTTTTGTTGTGTCCTGTCCTTTGACAGGAGGGGACAGAAGTTCCCTTCARGATGCCACCCTCCTGGGGACATGCCATCCCCTCTGGTCCAGCAGGTCAGTGAATACACACAGAGCAGCCACTGCTGGCAGGCCCAGCTCTCTTCCTTCACCTGGCTCACATACTACTCCCGCTCCCTTATTGTTGAAAAAATAATACTCAAAATTAAAATGTAGGCAGCAAATTATAGTAATTACCCAGCAGTTCCTCCTGACAGGCCTTTTGTATTCCATTCACTGACACTCACTAAGCAAATCCTCGCAGCTTGCTCCTACACACTCGAGAAACATTCAGCCAACGGTGGCAGAGAGTGCAGCTCCGGGGGCACGGGGGCACTGGCACCACACTCAGGGGGAGTGTGGCTAATTTACACCTTGGACACAGMTGTGCCCTCGTGGCACCCAATCTGCCCCATCCCAATGATTTCCACCACGTGGCTTCGTACAGATTTCACCACGAGCACCAGGCACTCTGGCTGTGGACACTGGGATGGCCACGCTGGGCTCTCTTTGCTCCGAGCTGCCCTTGTATCCTGCCTGAGGACACTTGAGTGCAGACCCCACATCCCATCCCATCCCATCCCATCCCATCCCATCCCATCCCATCCCATCCCATCCCATCCCATCCC